CTCTATATAACTCTATATAACTCTATATAACTCTATATAACTCTATATAACTCTATATAATCAAGCATACTACCACATTCAATCAATAAAAATCCCACTAAAACCAGGAACCACCGCGTACCTGTTACATGTATGGTGTGAAACAAAACAAAAAAGAACTCAAAACAAAAAACACACCACCAAGTAGAGTAAAAGAATAGAAGTCCCTAACCTACCTATGTAACTAAATTACCTTATGCCCTAGCTTACCTATATAATAAATTAATCTCAATCTCACCTACCTACGTTTCATTAACTTAACTCAAAACTCATGAAGAAAGAGAAAAAGGAGTATAAAAGAACATAAAATACTACCACGCAAACAAACATGATGTATGTATGTATGTATGAGCAACCGCTAAAGAACCCACCTAAAATATAAAAAAATACAACATACAAACACACAAACCACAGACATGCAAACTCTATATAACTCTATATAACTCTATATAACTCTATATAACTCTATATAAATAAAATTAAATAAAAATAAATAAATTAAAAAAATATAAATATAAAAAAATGAGATCAGGCACTCCGACTCGAGCGAGGCAGAAATGCCTGATCTGATTTCAACGCTTTTTCAGCTCCTATTTATACTCGTTTTAACCATACATTTTCATCATTTCAATCATTCACATCAATAAAAAACTTATTTAATGTATGTACTACACTATTATACAGTCTTAACCACAATGCTAACCGTACTAAATTGACGTCATCGAACGAACGCCTTCGAAACTTTCTGATTGGCTGGTTGAATCCGCTATATTGCTTTTTATATAAACATATGATCTTGTTAATTAATTGTATACATGTATTCTAGTTAATTTATCTATATATATATATAGAGATATATAGATATTGTATATAAATTCATTATATTAATAAAAGCAACAGTAATCAGTGCTACATATGTACGCACGCAGTTCAAATTTTTCGGCGAGAATTCAAAACAGTTTGGGACCACACCTTGCTTAACATCACTTGTATCATTTAAATATTTATATACGGCTTTACTCGGCCTGACTCTCAAGCCGAGCCAAGCAGGTAAATTCCAAGCCGAGCCGGGCAGAAAAAATCCAAGCCGAGCCAATCCAATCTGAGCCAACGTGGGTAGATTTATAAGCTTTTACATTATAACAGTTTATAAGGTCGGTTCCTTCCAGTGGTATAATGTTAGATCACGATCATCAAATAACTGATTTTTTGAGAACATATATATTATTATTATTATTACGGAATACGGATAAAAAAACATCAAATTTAAAAATTCCTAAGTCTGATTTCAGTGCAATGTCGATGATGATAATTGTGACCTGATTGATAAACTGAATGACTGAATAATTGGTTGAATGAATGAGTGAACGAATGAATTAATGAATGAGAAAAATAAAAAAAGGAAATTAAACTTTACTTCAAAAATCGTCGTTACGGTACTCCATTGCACCGACCACCACCATCTGGTCGGCACACAAGATGTCATCCGAACTGCAGAATGTCATTCGAACAGCCAACGAGCTGATTCTTTTTACACCACCATCATAATATGTAAATCATCATGAGACCACCATCTGAAACGTGCTGACGCCCACCACTGTCCACCTTTCATCATTCTGTAGACAAAATTTTTTATCAGCGTAGTAGTAAATGAATGCTAGAATCTTAGAAACAAAAAATTGTAAGATGAAAATAATGGCAAATAAATAATACTTTAAAATAATAAAGAGAGTAAAATGTAAAAAACTTACCGTCGTCCATTCGACAAAGGCAGAATGTTGAATGCGGTCTGGTTCCTACGTTGTCGTCCAAAACTGGTGCGAGATTGTTGTTGAAACACAGCCCGTGGGATGGAGAAAGATAAAGAAAAGATTCTCATCAGAAAGCTTAGCGGTGCCTGCATCTCAAATTGCTTAATAAAAATAATCCTATCTACCTATTCAATTACCTTAACTAATCTATATTAAATTGTTAATGGTACGATAGTATCGTATCCTCAACTTACCTATTCATTACAATTAAGCCCTAGCTTACCTAAAATTACAAAACTCAAGAGCCCAATTCATTTAGCCAATCGGCGTCCACCCCACCACCTACGTAATGTCTTGGGCTCCAACTTAGTAATAAATTAGCAGATAAATTAAATAATAATTAAATAATAAATTAAATCATCTCATTTAGAATTTTAAAATAGTCCTACCCTTAAGCTAAAATTACGGATTTGTCACAGAGCGTAACCGTTTTTAAATATAGTATAAAGAAACAACACTATACCTCAACGGTATAGTTAGAATTAGCTGTATCATTATTTTACGGATAGTATAGGCCTCAAATACATAACTGCATATTAATGAGGGACCGACATATAATTACGGTACTTTACTATTACTAATGCTTTAAAAATTCATTTGTGATTCTTTATCGCATTGATAATTGAATATTATTGAATTAATAATAAAATTAATGAATATTGATTATTATCATTATTATTTAGTATTACAACTGTTTATTATTATTCAACAACAACAACACACGTTTAGACGACATTTTCCCCGAGATCGGGGATTGCCGTTTGGATACCTATGATGAAACCGAAATACCCCTCGACGCCATCAACATCCGTCACATCTGTAACTATTTATTATTATTATTATTATTATTATTATTATTCACCCTGTGCACTAACAAAATCCAAATAATGTTGCTTTTATTATTATTATTCCATAATTATTATTATTAAAAATTAAAAAGTACACAAACATACATCGTTACAATCAATATAAAAAAGCAATACAACACACAAAAGCGATTACATCGAAAATACTATATATATATATATATATATATATATATATATATATATATATATATATATTATTTACAATCACATTAAATAATTCAAGTTAATTCTAACGAATTGAAAAACAACAGTAAAACCATAATAATAATAAATAGACGAGTTTATATGAGGGTGTGGGTCTATGTATGTGTGAATACGTGTGTGTGTGTGTGTGTGTGTGTGCGCGCGCAAACAAAATGATAAATTGTTTAAATTTAAATTGTTTGAATTCTTCTTCTTCTTCTTCTGCAAAAACAAAGTAAGCGCAGAGTTAATGTCACTCACATGTTATGAAGACGATATAAAATGACGTTAATAAATAAATAAATAAAATAAACAAGCGTGACGTCATCATGACGATGACGTGACGATGAGAATGATGACGAAAGCAACTTCTTCCCAACATAGACAATATAATTTTTTCTTCTAGCGCCCCAAAAAAACGAAATGAAAAATTCGAAATTTCTATTCTTTGTAAAAGAAAATTTACCTAAGGTATTTTTTTACTTCTAAGAAAGAAAAGAGTGAAAGAAAGAGAGAGAGAGAGAAACAAAGGTAGCGAAGAAAACGAATAAAATCTGACAGTTTGAAATGAAAATACAAAGAAAGAAATGACAAAATAAATAAAAAGAGTAATAATAATAATAATAATGATAACAATAATAATAGTAATCATCTTAAACCACCGTTATTTATAAATAAGTTACCGGCAATGGCAAATAACAAAAGAAAATAATAATAATATTGAATACAAAACCAAACGTACATAGACACACACACGCACGCACACACACACACTCCTAAGTTGTTCAGCCAGAATTAAATGTATCTAATTATCGTACCCAAATTACATACAGATACAAACATATACACACATACATACATATATACACACACCTACACATACATACGTACACACATTCCCATATTGATTTAAGAGAGAGAGAGAGAGAGAGAGAGAGAGAGAGAGAGAGAGAGAGAGAGAGAGAAAGACTATCTATACATGCAAGAATAGCAAAGAAAATAATCTTTCATTGTAATAATAACAATATATATATATTTATATATATATATATGTTGGTAATAGACCATAATTTTTACAATATTCTATAAATTCTACCTAATGTTTGGCGTCAATATGTTTGTAGTTCGTTTTTTCGATTTATCTCACTAAAGTTTTTATACATATTAACGAAAAACATTCGGTAGAATTTGTAGAATATTGTAAAAATATATATATATATCTGTGTGTGCGAGTGCGTGTGTTTGTGTGTGATTGAGTTGATAACAGTAATCAAAATTCACCGCTAATTACATCGTAGCGATTAACAAACAGGGGAAAATAATGTGGCGATATAATTGTAATTCATTTTTATGTTCGTTCGTTCGTTCGTTCGTTCATTCATTCTCTTATTCATTCATTCATTTATTCGTCGTTCATTCATTCATTCAATCATTCATTCATTCATTCAATCATCGGTTAATCGTGCATTTAATTCTCGCAATCATTCATCTATTCATTCAATTTTGATTCATCTCTTGAACCTTTTCTACCTTCACTCATTCATCCATGAATTCGTTCATTCAGTCATTCATCTATTCATTCATTCAATCATCTATTCAGTAATTAAATCCTTAATCATCGATAATTCACTCACCCACTCACTCCATCCTAAATGAATGAATGAATGAATAACATATTTGAACACATCAACAAAATGACGATGACGTCATTCCACGAATAACGTCATCATCTCCACCACCAACACCACTATTATTATTACTATTATTATTATTGTTACTATTGGTATTATAACTATTATTATTACGATCATCATCATGAGTAGCAGTAGTAGTAGTAGTAGTAGTAGTAGTAGTAGCAGTAGTAGTAGCAAAAGTAGCAGTAGTAGTAGTAGTAGCAGTAGAAGCAGCAGTAATAGTGATAGTAGTAGTAGAAGTAATATATTTAGCATGGTTATTACTACTATACGTAGTATCTTTACTTTTAAAAGTACTATTACTATTACTGCTACTACTACTATTACTGCTACTACTACTATTACTACTACTACTAGCGACGCCAGCAACGTTATCAACAATATAATCACTAGAGCTGATAAAGGTAGTAGTAGTAGTAGCTATAGTAGCTGCAGCAGCAGCAGTAGTAGTAGTCGAAATAGTATTAATAGATGTATTAGGAACACAATTACTACTACTGATAAGGAGTTCATTCACATCACTACTACCATTACAATTAACGTTGTGGCCATTAGTACCACCACTACTACTACTACCACCACAACGACCAACGACGACTCTACTGCTACTACTACCACCGACGGCACTACTACTACTACAACTGCCAATACCACTACTACTACTACCACCGACGCCGCTACTACTACTACTACTGCCAATACCACCACTACTACTACCAGCACCAGCGCCGCAACTACTACTAGTAGTACTAGATGTTTGTTTGTTGTGGTTGTTGTTGTCCAGAAAGGTAGTAGTAATGATGCTCTCCTGTTCGACGAAGTACTGGCTGCACGTCAGATACTTCCGGATGATGAGTGGCAGCGGTAGGCGGTCGATCAAATCTCGACGGGTGCCGGCCAGTATGACGAAACTAGGGATGTGCGTGTGGGTATGAGTTTGTGGGTTAATCTGACGAACGATCAATCAACCAAAATCAATCAAACAATTAGTCAACTAATCAATCAATGAATTAATCAATCAATCAACCAATCAATCAATTAATCAATCAATCAATCGGTGAACCACCAACCGGCAGAGATGTTGCAGTGAATGTACAAACATGAGCCTGGATACGGGGTTGATCAGGTTGACCCTCATCGGTGGCACGCCCAGAGCCCGCGGTTTTATAAAGTAGGAGAAGGAACCTATGATGTTGACGACGACGACGACGATGATGATGATACTGGAGATTATGATGACGATGACGTGGCTTGTTGACGATGATGATGCTGATGGTTAACATATCAATCAACTAATGAATCGGTCATTCAAACAATCAATCAATCAACCAACCAAACAATCAACCAACCATCCAACCAATCAACCAACCATTATGACAATTCTGGATAGCTTTCTCGATGAACTCAACTATTGTGGCCTCTCCGTGCGATTTCGGCTGAGCGTTGAAACTGAAGTTACCTAATTACAATTAGTCATTACAAAGCGGTAATCATGACGTCATCACTTATTGTAATAATGAGAACATCCTTTTTTTCTCATTTTAAAACACATATTGTAATTGTGAAGTTAAAATAATAAAATTTATAATGTAAATTATTATAGATATTCTACAATGCTGGCCATACATTTTTTTTAAATTGACACAAAGAGAAATAGAATCAGCATTAAAATACGTTCAAATCGCGTTCCTATCACTGTAAATTGCGTAAGATGACGATACTACGGAATTAATTAAACTCCTATGGAGAGGGTCAGACCGAATAAAATTAATTAATGGTAGTCTAAAATATTAAAAAAACCTCTGAAATGTTCAATCCTTGTGTGGTGAATCTGATCCTCTGCCTTGAAACTCAAACTCAAGAGATACCTATGGTGATGATGACGACGATGATGAAGACGATGATGATGAAGACGATGATGATGAAGACGATGATGATGAAGACGATGATGATGACAGTGATGATAAATAATTAGGTAGATAAATAGCTACTGATGATAGCCCCGCCCACAAGACTAATAACCCCGCCCACAAAACTAATAACCCCGCCCACAAAACTGACCTCTCATCAGAGCTATCCCTAACGAGAAATGACCCAACGGGCTGGTCGATCAGCTGATCCTCTGCCTCCTTCCAGCTTAGCGGACCCCAGTACCACCCTTTCTGTGATTGGTCGGTTGGAGATTTGATTGGTCGGTTGGAGATTTGATTGGTCGGTTGGAGATTTGATTGGTCGGTTGGAGATTTGATTGGTTGGTTGGTTGGTTGATCGGAGTTTTGATTGGTTGGTTGGTTGGAGTTTGAATGATTAGCTGGTGCTTGATTGGTTGGCCGGAGTTTGATTGGTCTACTTACTGAATGATAAAAGCAAGGCAAACATTGAAAGCAGTAGAAACTCATTAAAATCACCAACTAGATGAGTTTCCATTACGCCAATTTTTATAAAAATTAGCCCGAAATAATAATAATAATAACAATAAAATAATAAGAAGAATAATAAATTAAAAAAGATCAACTAACACTTTTTAATTCAGTAAAACTGCCAATGAAATTCTTTATGAATACATCATCATTTGAGCCGGCCATATTTCTTGAAGTTGAATTACTACCTAACGAGGTATGAATGAATGAATGAATGAATGAATGAATGAATGAATGAATGAATGAATGAATGAATGAATGTATGGATGGATGGATGGATAGACGAACAAAAAAATGGATGAACAAACAAGCAAACAAACATGCAAGAGAAACGAAAAAAACATATATAACAAAACACACACCACTCAAACTCAGACACGCCCCTTCGAATTCCCCCAGACTTGAGCACTGATTGGACGACAGCCTGGTGTGATGGTGGCCTGCATTCTGCGACCTTGACCTAATTTCGGCCTCTCCGCCAATCGCAGTCGAGTGTCTCAAGGCCAAATGGTCCGTGGGCAATTCGGGAAGGCCTCGAGTTCGAAGGTCAAACGAAGCCAATCTCGTAGTGTTGTTGCTGCTGTTGTTGCTGTGGTGATTTATATTGGGTGAAAGATCGTTCCTTCTGAAGAAACTGTTGATGTTGTTGTTGTTGTTGTTGAGGACCGGGGCCGACAATGGCAGACTGATGTTGTTGTTGCTTTTGTTGTTGCCGCTTGGCGCTTTGCCGACCGAGTGTTTCTTGAAAAATCGATGCGTTTTTGTAGCAAAGTTATTATTATTATTATTGTTACTGCTGTTGACGTTGTTGTTGTTGTTGATGGTAGTGTTGTTGTCCGACGATGACGTCATAGTTGTCGTAATTTTAGGCTTCTTTCTGGTGAGAAAATTTTTAAATTTCGACTTAAATGAAGTTTTCTTCTTCTGATTATTATTATTATCACTATCATTATTGCTACGATTGTCTTGAGTGGCAGCTGACGATGATGCTGGCAATGCAATAATAGATGTTGATAAAGATGGTGAATGTTGTTGTTGATGTTGCTGTTGATAGAGATGTTGTTGCCGATTTGTTGCGAAACTCCTATCCGTCACTGCAGTAGCAGTTGGGAAATGTTGAGTCTCCGAGAGGCCGTCAACTGGAAATCTTTCAGAATTGTTGTTGCTGTTTGTGTTGTTGATGATGCCATTGAGGTCATTTTTTATGTTGTCTGCATTATTGTTGACGTCATTGTCGTTGTTGTGGCTGATGTTGGTGTTGCTGATGTTGTTGTTGCTGTTGTTGTTGTCGTTGTTGACATCATTGTTGTTGATTTTGTTGTTGTTGTTGACGCCACTGTTGTTGATGTTGTTGCAGCAACTGGCCACAGAGTTTCGAATCACCTCTTCCTTTTTCATCATTATCTCTTTCCAGCTCATGTGAGTGCACTCACTTTCACCACTATCTCCACTTGCAGCAGCAGCATTAGTAGCTGCAGCAGTAGCAGCAGCAGCTGCATAAGCAACAACATTATCATTACCGTCATCATCGTTATTATTATTCATATCATTACTAATATTATCATCTATATTATCATCATTAACAGTTATATTATTATTATTAATATTTATAATTACATCATCATCATCAGCAGCATTTCTGATACCAATGGGTTTATTAGTAACACAATCATCATAACCATTCTTATTATTATTCTTATTATTATTCTTTTCATTATTATTACTATCCATTTTAGGATTATCTATATTATTTTTATCATCATCATCATTACCATCGTCGTCGTCCTCACCATCATCATCATCATCATCATAGCCTGTAAGCAGTTTGGTAACAGTATTATTATTATTATGGTTGTTATTATTATTATCATTGTTGTTATTATTGTTTGTATTATTGGCGGCCATTTGGTTTTTAGGCAGCCTGTTTATTGTGGGGCCACATTGAGCTCTTAACACTAAGAGTGATTCACTATTTTCTTTATCATTATTATTAATATTATTATTTGTTCCCATGTCATCATTATCATCATCATCACCATGTTGGTGTGTCCATGCTGTTATATTTGAAGTTTCAGCTCCAGCATCGTCGTTATTGTTATTTTTTAATAATTTTAATACCGAAGCTTCACTAGCAGTTGTCGAATAGAGGACCTTCACGTTGGCCGCCTCTGTACTACCACTGCTATTTATATCATCCACTAACATTCCTAATCGTCGGCCATTATTTATTATGATGTCGGCGGAAGCATCTGTGACGTCACTGTTAGGATTTTCCATGATTTCTTCTCGACAAATGTTTAGTCTACTACTGCTGCTACTGGTGCCGTTATTGTTCGGGGTTTCGTCGTTCGGGGTTGTGCCATTGGGGGTAAGCGTGTCACTGGCGTTGTTGTTGTTGATGGGGAAGTTAGCAATGCTACTCGAGTTGGATTGCACATTTACGGAGCAACAGAAGGCCGCAAACGGGTACCTCTGGTGCTTCAGGTTGATCGGGATGTTCATTTTTTTTTTTTAATTTTATTTCATCATCCGAATGTCTGGATTTCAGATTTTTTTTCCTGTTGTTTATGATTTTTTAATGAAATTTTTCTTATTTAGTCCTGGTAGACATTTTTATGTTTTTCTAAAATTTATTTTTAAATGCAATTTTTAAATGAAAAAAGGAGGCCACAAACCAAACTGAAATTAAATTTTTTCACAAACGAAAAAACATCTCCCATGGACCCAAAAAAAATATTTTAGCAACAATTTTGTTGAAACATGTTCAATTTTTGCATGCAGACAGAGGTAAAAAAATTATTTATCAATATTTTTTTTAAAATAAACATGTTACGTTAGAGCAGTTAGAAACAAAATTATGCAGCGTAACGTAGAGAATTTTTTTAATTTTTTTTATACATTATGAATCCAGGTCTTGTACTATATTTCGATTTTAGAAACATTTTTTCGATCATTTTGCCAATTTATCATATGAATATCCAGTTTAATCTCAATCATTTGTATAAATTATTCATTTTCTACGCAATTATAGACTATTCTTACATCTTATCGGCGAAATATCGAGGCTCCATACAATATTTCAAATTAAAATAAATTTTTCCGATAAATTTTAAATTTTGTCAGTGTTATAGTGTTGGGTAAGATTTAAATTTAAATGATTTTAAAAAACTATCTAATAAATTTATTGTTATTTTTCTTTATTATAATTTAAAACCAATTATATAATATATATGTATAGGTATACATACATGTTTGTATGTAATGTAATGTAACGCATGCATATGTATGTCTGTATGAATGGATGTATGTACGGACGAACAACGTCAATTAAATATTGAATTAGGAAAAAAATTAAAAATATAGGACAAAGTTACCACTACCATTCATTCATTAATCCATTAATTAATTAATTAATTAATTAATTAATTCATTCATTCATTCATTCATTCATTCATTCATTCATTCATTCATCCACCCATTCAATCTTTCATTCAATCATTCATTCATCCACCCATTCAATAATTCATTCATTAATTCATCAATCCATTCATTCATAAATTCATTCATTCACTTTCTGCCATTCAAGTTATTGATAAGTAGTTTGTTGTACTCGTTAACCAGGGCTACGACGCGTTTGGATATCTCCACGCAATCAGCATCCAGTGTTCTCGCTGATATAACTGGATGGATGGATGGATGGATGGATGGATGGATGGATGGATAGATTAATGGATAAATGAATGAATATGTAACTAGATGAATGAGCAAATGTAATGAGCAAATGTATGATGGTGAACAGATGGATGAGTGATTGAACGAACGAATAAATAAATGAATGAATGAATGAAATAATTAATTAATTAATTAATTAATTAATTGATTGATTAAAAAGCAAAATATTCCTTCCTGACATTCGTTCATGGCGAAGTTGCTCTGTTCCAGATGCTGCCACTTCCTTTCCAAATTCACTAGCTGCAAGTAAATTTTTAATAAAATCATCAGACAACTATGAAAATAAAAATTAAGCGCTATAAAAATGTAAAAAAAAAATTGTAAAATAAGATTGAAAAGTGAGAAACATCACCTGTGCATGCGTGTCATTCTCGTTGAGTTTACTTTTAATTTCTTCAAAACGTCTGCTCAGCTTATCGACCATCTCTCTGACGTCATCACGTCTTCTTTGTAGTTCCGTTCTGTCCGATTCCAGTTTCTAGCGGTGATATTGGTTGTATGAAAAGAAGTTTGTGATTTGATTGGTCGGAATAATTGTTTCAATTGATTTCCATTGGTTGAGAAAATTAATACCGCTAAGCTATTGGTTGATAAATATTTGTATGGTGTGATTGGATAGATGATGTAATTTTATTGATCAAAATAACAATGTGATTTGTTTGGCTGGTTGAATTGATATCATTTTTTCCCAATTTATGATTGGTCGGTCAGTAATTACCGGCCTGATGATGAACCGTTCTAGAGAGAAACATTGCGATTTGATTGGTCGAAATAATTCCTTCACTTGAATTTGATTGGTCGAGTGTGTTGATGAATAACGCAAACTCATTGGTTGAAAGAAATGTCTTTCATACTTATTTTAAAAAATTATTTAAATGAAGTAAAAAAAGTGAAAAATTAAAAAATGAACTCACTCTCTTTTTATCTTCAGTATCTCTCTTCAGTTGGTCGATATCGCTGTAGACCTCAATATCTCCCTTCATTGTTGACATCTTCTCCTTTATTGTCCTCAACTCGTCCTTCATCTTTCGTTCAAGATCATCCAAGTTCCTCAAACTATCTTGCAGTTTCTTATTTTCTGGAGGAATGACGGTTATGATACTAGTTGTTTATCAATTTATTAATTTGTCTTGATTAACTTTTTCATTCACTCAATCACTCAATTATCAAGTCAATCTGTGGATTATCTAATTAATCGTCTAGCAAACAAAACAATCAAACAGTCAATCAATTAATCAGCAAAATCAACTAATCCACCAATCAAAAATCAAGTCAACCAACCAGCTGACTTGACCAATCAAAAAATAACAAATCAATCAACCGACCAACCAGAAAGCAACAAACCAACCAGCCAGCCGACTGACCAATTAGAAAGCATCAAACCAACCAACCAACCAATGGAAAGGCCAGTCATAGTATTTTCGGCGTGGACCATTTCGCGCTCTTTAAATTTTAAATCCCCTTTTAGCTGCTCGAATTCAGTTTTTGACGGGAGAACCATGTTTCCGGTAGTTCTCGTTAAGTTCTTGTGTGTGTGTTTGTGTTTGTGTGTTTACGTGTGCATACGTGCGTGTGTGTGTGTGTGTTTGTGATTCATTCTTTCATTCATTCATTCAACCAACTCTGCTTATTTGTTCCAAGTGATGAACAATTGACTGCTCTAATTGCTGAAGACGATTCTAAATGAAAGAATTAATGAATGGGTGAGTGTGAATGAATGAATGGCTAAGTGAATGAATAAATGAATAGACGAATAAACAAACGAACGAACGAATGAATGAACGAACGAATGAATGAACGAACGAATGAATGAACGAACGAATGAACTACCTCTTCGGCAGATTTCACTTCATCAAATGTTTTGAAAAATTCTGCAAAATCATTTCATTAATTGTCATCATCACCATCGTCATCATCATCATCGTCATCATCACCATCACAATTATAATCATCACCATCGTCATCATTATCACTACCATCACCACAACCATCACCATCGTCACCACAACCATAGCCATCATCACCATCACCTTCATAAGTTTGTTCCTTCTGCTTCAGTTCTCTATATTGCTGACTGCGTTCGCCTAATCGTGATATTATAATATTATAATTATAATATCATAATTATAATATTATAATTATAACTATGATAATAATTATGAGGTTGTGACGATGATTATGGTGGTGGTGATGATGATCATGATGGTGATAATTATAATATTATAATTATGATGGTGGTGGTGATGATGATGGTGATGATGATGGTGGTGGTGATGATGATAGTGGTGATGGTGATGATGACGATGATGACCTTGGTTCATGTCAAGGTCAACGTCCAGCTGTTGGCTCTCTTCATTCAGCCTCTCCACTTTCTCCTGTACATCTCTCGCCCTGTTTCCAAGATTGATGGATGAATGAATGAATGAACGAATGAATGAACGAATAAATGAATGAATGAATGAATGATTGATTGATTGATTGATTGATTGATTGATTGATTGATTGATTGATTGATTGATTGATTGATTGATTGATTGATTGATTGATTGATTGATTGATTGATTGATTGATTGATTGATTGATTGATTGATTGATTGATTGATTGAGAGAACGAATGAGAGAACGAACAAGCGAACGGGTGAGAGGACGAATATGTGAACGAATGAATGAAACATTAATGAAGATAGTACATTGGAAGTTAACTTAATATGCAGGTAAAAATTGTCGCGATCAATCAATATTCGCTTAGCGTCTTTGTGATGGGGGAAAATTTTGGGAAAAATTTTTACACCCTCTCTTTCTCTCACTCACTCATTCTTTCTTGTCCATTTACTCATTCACTCTTTCTTTTTCATTCACTCGCTCACTCTTGTTCGCTCACTCATTCTTTCCTTTTCAATCACTCACTCTTTCTTTTTCATTTTCACTCTCTCACTTTCTCTTTTTCACTCACTCTTTCTTGTTCACTCACTCACTCTTTTTTGTTCACTCACTCACTCTTTTTTGTTCACTAACTTACTCTTTTTTTTTCACTAACACACTCACTCTTTTTCACTCCCTTTTTCATTCACTCATTCACTCTTTCTTTTTCACTCACTCCCTCTTTTACTCACTGTCTCTCCATGGATGCGATCTCCATGTTGTCATCTTTCACTTGTTTCAGCAGCTTCTCCTTTTCCTGCTGCGGGCTCAGTGAGGATTGCAACTCCTGGGTCATCTGCTCTCGTTTCATCTCCAACAATCTCAGCTGCTCGTACAGATGGACTGAATGAATGAATGAATGAATGAACGAACGAACGAATGAATGAATAAACGAATGAATGAATGAATGAATGAACGAACGAACGAACGAACGAACGAATGAATGAATGAATGAATGAATGAATGAATGAATGAACATACGAACGAACGAACGAATGAATGAATAAATGAATGATTGGATGGATGAATAGCTCGATGGTTGTATGGATTAAGGAAGAAATGAATGAATTGATGAATAAAAGAATTAGCGCTTAAATGATATAATGTCTGATGAATTTTTTATTCATTCATTCATTCGTTCATTCTTTCATTCGTTCATCCATTCGTTCGTTCGTTTGTTCATTTATTCGTTCTTTCTTTCATTTGTCACTCAATCGTTCCATCACCTGCTTGCTGCTTTACCGGTGAAATCATCAACTCCTAATTAAATGAATAAAAGAATGAATGAATGAACGAACAAACGAACAAACGAAAGAATGTATAAATGAATGATTAAATGAATGAATGAGTGAATGAATGAATTAATGAATAAATACTATGCAACAACAAAAATCCTAAATCCAATAATGATTTTGTTAAAATAAAATAAAATATGGCTATAATGAACAAATGAATGAAAGAATGAATGAAAGAATGAATGAATGAATTAATTAATTAATTAATTAATTATTAATTAATTAATATGTGAATTGATCGATAGATTCATTCATCCATCCTATTATTTTTATGACTGCTAGCCAATCAAAATCATTTTAACATTTTAAACCTCTTCCAATTGGTCCTTTTTGATGTTCAGGGCATCGATTTGTTGCTGTTCTTCTTCCAATTTCTTCAACATTTGGTCGTTCATGTCTTTCAGCTTCCCGTACTTCTTTCTCATGCCCTCCTCCTGATTGGTTGAATGGTTAGATGATTGAATGATTGATTGATTGGCTGATTGGTTGATTGGCTGGTTGGTTGATTGATTGACTGATTGGTTGGTTGATTGACTGGTTGGTTGATTGATTGACTGATTGGTTGGTTGATTAACTGGTTGGTTGATTGATTGACTGATTGGTTGGTTGGTTGGTTGATTGACTGGTTGATTGATTGATTGACTGATTTGTTGGTTGATTGACTGGTTGGTTGATTGATTGACTGATTAGTTGGTTGGTTGATTGATTGGTTAGTTGATTAGTGAATTGAATGATTGAAAACTAACAGAATGATTTTATAAAAGCAAAGATACGTAATAGATTTGAATTAATATATCTACTGAATTAATATGAAACAACTTTCAATCATCCAACCAGCCAACCAATCAACCATCAGCCAACCGACCAATCAGCCAAGCAAGCAGCTATCCATCCCACCAACCAACCAACCAACCAACCAACCAGCCAACCAGCCAACCATATCCATTATCACAGTTCTGCCAAATTTTCT